CAGCAGAGATGGTATGAGTTTCGTCGATAATCAAAAGAGTACCATATTTAGTAGTGAGTTCACGGAGCTTATCTAAAAATCCTGGTGTGGGAGAACAATACCAATGTTTGTCATGGCTGGTTCACACAAAACAGCAGCAACATCACCAGGAGCCAAAGCTCTTTCCAAAGCTTCAACATCATTAAATTCAACAACCTTTGTGGTATTTGTTGGATTGGTTTGTGGACCAATATTTGTAGCACGACATTCAGCAGTAACACCATCATCAGCAAGGGTGACAAAAGCTTCATCAACAGTTCCGTGATAGCAATAGTTGAAAACAAGGATCTTTGGACGTTTGGTAATATGTCTAGCAATACGTAAAGTGAATCTGTTGGCATCAGTTGCAGAAACAGCAACTTGCCAGTATGGAAGACCAAAACGCTTCTTTAAATCATCACCAACCCAAATTGCATTTTCGTTTGGTAACATATAAGTAATACCATTATTTAATTGTTTTGAAACAAAATCAACGACAACATCAGGAGAGTGGCCAGTCATGGAACCAGTATCACCAAGGCAAAAATCGATAAATTTAACATCATCCAAGTCGGTAAAGTGACCTCCTTTAGCTTGTTTAACAAACAATGGATGACCACCAGTCCACTTCTTCATCCAGTGCATTGGTACACCATCAAGAAGAGAGTTCTTAGCTCTTTCAAAGGCGTCACGACACTTTGGGTGATTCTTCAAGAACAAAGCTTCTTCTTCAGCATAGAGCTTCTTGAGATGTTCTCTATCGATTTGAACAAGTTGTTGAGACATTCGCGGCGAGAGTGTTTGGAGATTTTTTTTGGTCGATTCGGTGGAACAATTGTTTACAATTTATTTGAAGTAAGGATCTGTTTTTTAAACACCAACAGCCTTGCTGCCAACTTCTGTTTCAAGCTTTCCTTTTACAACTCTGGTGGTAAGTGTTTCTGGAATTGGCAACTCAATGGTGTCTTCACCATCTTGAGTAGGGATGTAAACATTCATCTCGTTTGAAAGAGATGAAACAAACTCAGTATGCAAACTTTCTTTGCTCAAGAAAACTTTGATATTAGCAGTTTTGTTGATGATGACAGCAGGGGTTGTCTTTTCTACTTGCACTTGAACTCTCTTGCAGTTAATGACGTCAAGAGGGGAGATCGAGCTTTCGAAGATAATGTTAAAGTTGGAACAGCTATCAATAGTGATACCATTTACCTTACCACGTACAACTAATGTGGAATTTTCACATTTGTAAACAACTACTGATTGTTGAATGGCTGTGGAGTTAATGGTTAGATCTTGTTGTCCTTTTTGATATTCAACAAGCCATTTGTTTCCAGAGTTTAATTCAAGTTTAGCAGACATTTTTTTTATTTTGATTTATTTGTGGCTTGTAGATTGAAAAAAGCAAACCCATCATCAGCTGACAAGTTGCTTGTAATCTGACATTGTGATGGATGTAAACCCCTAATAGTCTGTCTACAGTTTTCAATTATTTCTTATACAAAAACAAAAAAACAAAAAGCCTTGATAATAGCAAATGACAGTTAAACATGGGTTGATGGTTAGTTAAAGATGTAACAATCTGTTTCAGCAACAAAATCTATGAAGGCTGTCAGAGTTTGTAAAGGCAGGAAGGTCATGGCTATAACATCAAAGTCAGGGA